AGGCGTGCACTACCACGCCTGGCTACTTTTTATTTTATTGTAGAGACGAGGTCTTGCCAAGTTGCCCAGGCTGGTCTCGAACCTGTAGGCTCACACAATTCATTCATCTCAGCCTCCCAAAGTGCTGGGATTGCAGGCTGAGCCACTGAGCCTGGCCAGAGCTGTAACCTAATGCTATCAACACAGTTAAAGAATGTGTCAATCGGAAGAAAAGCGAGTCTGATGAAGCTGGCAAGGAGTCCTCCGCTGTGCAGGGGATAGGACTCTGACCCAAGAGTTCAGATGGCAGACCCAGTAGCAAGGACAGTACTGCCTCCAGTCTAAGATGGTATCAACTCATTGTTGGATATACTCTCAACTAAATGGTGGCTTTTCAGGAAAAAAGAGAAATGCTACCACATTAAGCACAATAATTAATTGAAAGGCGGACACAAAAATCTTAGAATCTTCAGAATCAAGAAAAACAGTTTATCTCTGTATGGAAAAGGATATATAAGCCTGACATCACTTATCATTTGAATTATCCAGCTCACTCCTAATAGGCTAATTCTGTGCTCACCAAGCAGCCTTCCACTTAAAACATCCTTCCTTGTTTGAATTTTTTACATGAAGAGAATGTGCCCATCTGGAAGGGCAAGTGGCTGGTCTCACGATGGATGTCATTCTCCTTGGAAGTTAATAAACTGCCGCTCTGGTTAGTTTATTCACCAGGCTCTTGTGAGCATGGTCAATCCGAATGCTGCTCAGCTCAAGTGATCCTTTGGGCTGACAAATTCAAACTTCTTAGTGCCTGAAGTGAGGAAGTAGATGTGGAATGCAAGGCCCCAGCTGGGTTGTTACCATGGAAGGAATCTTGTCTGCCAGCAAGTGAGTTGGTTGGCAACACCCCTAACAAGTCACCTCTCCATTAGCTCTCCAACAGCATACATAGAAACAGTAAAACTGAACACACTAGCAGGGCTCGGTGGCTCAGCCTGTAATCCTGCGCCTTGGGAGGCTGAGGTGAGTGGATTGCCTGAGCCCGCGAGTGCGAGACCCACCCAGGCAACTTGGTGAGACCTCATCTCTACGATAAAATCAGAAAATTCGCCGAACGTGGTAGTGTGTGCCTGTAATTCCAGCTACTTGGAAGGATGGGGTGGAAGGATCGCAGGAGCCCAGCAGGTCGAGGCTGCGGTGACCGGGAGCGGCCACTGCACTCCAGTTTGGGCGACAGAGTGAGACTCCAACTCAAAAAAAAAATTGAACACACTGATTGGGGAACTTAGGAATATGGGTCAGTTTTCTGTTTAGGATTCAAAAGTTGACTGTACTAACTTTATGAGCATTATGCAACTACTTTTAGTTTACAGTGGAATCAACTTTCATCTGGTTTTTAAAAAAATATTCCTTCCCCCAAATAAGTTTGTTTTTCCTCAAATCTTGCTAATCAGAAAGCATTTCAGTCAGGCATGGTGGCTCACACCCATAATCCCTGCACTTTGAGAGGAGGAGGTGAGAGGATTGCCTAAACCAGGGGTTTCAGATCAGTCTGGGCAACTTGACAAGACTTTGTCTCTACAGTGAATTGAAAAAGTAGCTGGACGTGGTAGTGCATGCCTGTGATTCCTGCTACTTAAAAGGCTGAGGCAGAAGGATCACCTGAGCCTAGCAGGTTGAGGCTGTGGCAGCTGTGAGCATGCTACAGCACTCCAGACTGGGCGACAGAGTAAGACTCTGACTCAATCAATCAATAAATAAAAGCATTTGAGCACATGTGTGAGAGTATGTCTACTGAAAGGGTGCAGATGCAGGATGGAGACAGAACTCTACAGGAAGTAACTGGGGTAACTATAGTTCACAATTCTTCAATTACTCAGTAAAGTATCAGAATCTCTGTTGAGTTGGAGTCTCGCCCTATCATCCAGGCTGGAGTGCAGTGGCATGCTCACGGTCACCGCAGCCTCGACCTGCTGGGCTCAGGCGATCCTTCCTCCTCTGTCTTCCAAGTATCTGAAACTGCAGACATGCATCGTCACGCCTGGCTAATTTTTCTTGATTTTTTGTGGAGATGAGGTCTCACCAAGTCGTCTAGGCTAGTCTTGAACTCGTGGACTCAGGCAATCCTCTCACCTCGGCCTCCCAAAGTGCTGGGATTATAGGTGCCTGGTTAGAATCTCTGTTCTTAATGAGTCACGGCAGAGGCATGAAAACACCTCCACCAAGGCTGCATGTCCAAATTTGTGGTGGGTCATAGACCAAAAGCTTCCTCTGACAGTGCTGAGCAGATCTCTAAATCAGCTGTGGTATTATCATTCTCAATCCCTGTGGAGAGTTGCTGTGAATTGCTCAGCAGGGGTGAAACCCCATTCTGTCTCTAATGGCTGCCTGGTCCTGACCAACATTTATGGAGACACATTCAGCCGTGTAAATGGTATGCCAAATGTGTGCAATTTATTCAAAGGAAATTTGCCAAAACAGAACTAAGAAGTAGAGCTCGGTTTAGCTGCATACTTCTTGAAAACTTCTGCAACACGTCTCTGGAATGTTTTCAGGCGCCAAGCTACTTCCAAGAATGCAGAGTCACCCCATCTACTATTACTCTTGCCTTTCTTCAGGGAGTGTTTGAGAGAAGGCTGCAGAAAGCAGAGGCTTTTTTTTTTTGTCAATAAAAAACAGCAACTGGTCAACTGGAACAGTGAGGAAGACTCCCAGCGTTATGCCCAAACACTCTTCACCTCCCGCTGCCACCTCCCAGAGTTGAGAGACTAGCAGTCTCCAAAGAGCCCAGGCCTCCAGTCTACCCTCCATACTGATGCCAGCTCTGGTCACTGTCACTCCCCTATGGATCTCCTGCGGCGGTGTGCTGGTGCTGCTAGAACCAGGCCGGACTCCTACTCATAAATACGCCCTCTGCTGCCTGGTCTCCTCTGCTGCCACTTCCAAGGCTCAGCTGCTTAGAAGAGCCCACACTATGCCCCATGTCCATGTGGCAACCCCCATTTACCTTTGAACACCTTCAGCTATCAGGACTCTAAAGGCTTTTCACCTCAGGCCTGTCCTCACAGTCTCTACCAGCTTCTGTGCAAATTATCTATCTTGCATGTTCATTCGTTTAACAAATAATTACTAAGCACCTAACAGATGACAGGCATTGGGCTCAAGGATACAGGGAGGGCAATACTGACATGATCCATATGCTACACTATGCTTACCACAATGAACTGTAATGACTTCTATGCTGTCTTTAAGACTGGAGCCATATTCTACTTACTTCTGTACTGGCAGTACTCAGCCCAGTGCCTGGCATGTAATAAGTACCTAGTGAATATTTTTTGTGATTGTAAAAGAGAGTTCCAATTAGCTACTGAATAGCTTTTAAAAGTAACCTAATAATGATAATGACAAAAATAGCAGGGACTAACATTGAGCACTTACTATATACTAGGCGTTGCCGTGACTCTATTACATGCATTATTTAATTTCCTGAACATTCTTTGACCAAGGTGTTACACAGCCCCACTTTACAGAGAAGAAAACTGAGGCTTTAAGAGGCTAAGCGCCTAGAGGATGGGTTTCCACAGGCTGATAGAGCTTTCTACGATGACAGGAAGGCTCTATGTGTATACTGTTCAATGTAGTAGCCAGTGGCTACACATGGCTGTTCAGTGTTTGAAATGTAGTTGGTGCCATTGAGAAAAGGAATTCTGAATTTTATTCTATTTTAATTTGGTTAAATAGGTCACATGGGCTAGTGGCCACTATATTTTATGACAGTTTAAGTTGTCTCATTTGTAATGAAGAGAGAAATCACTCCAAACATCCTTTCCTGCTCTGAAAGTCTATGCTTTGTACCACTGACCTCTCTGAGAGGAAGCACCGACCAGGAGACAGAGTGGAACATGGAGACACAATTACTTTCCTGTGGACACAGCTATGAAATTACCAACATGAATGCATTCCACAAGCACTTCCTGGGACCTACAGATATGCCAAGAACCATGCTGGAGGCTGCAGGAGCTATCAGGGAAAGCTATCACACAGCTCCTGAAGAAGAAGGGCACCCAAGAAGGGGTGCTATCTTCAAAGGCAGAAGGACATTTCTGTGTGTGGTGTCAACAGCAAGAAAGGTGGGACTGAACATAACGTGACCATAGGCTAGAGGAAATTCAAACTGGGAAACAATGCAATGCAGTTTATGGAAGGTCATTTTTAGACAACCTCTTTTTTTTTTGAGTAGGAATCTCACTCCATCGCCCAGGCTGGAGCACAGTGGCACACTCATGACCACCCCCAGCATGGATCTACTGGGCTCCGGCAATCCTTCACCCTCAGCCTTCCAAGTAGTTGGAACTACAGGCATGCCCTACCATGCCCGGCTAATTTTTTGTTTTATTGTAGAGATGAGGTCTCGCCAAATTGCCCGGGCTATTCTCAAACCTGTGGGCTCAGGCAGTCCTCTCACCTCGGCCTCCCAAAGTGCTGGGATTACAGGCTTGGGTCAGCCCGCCTGGCCTTAGACAGCCTTCAAGAATACAGCTCCTGCATGAAGTAAAGGGATCCTACAGAAGAGGATAAATCCATTTACTTAATTAGCAGTCACTACCTGGCCTGAATTACGTACCATAGCTTATAAAAAGCTGTTGAAGCTCTGAGTATACGAAAAAAAATTGAGTTGTATACTTTAAATGGATAAACTGTATGTATGTGAAGTATATATCTCAACAAAGCTATGTTTTTAAAAAAGCTGGTGAAAATTAATAACAAAATATTTAGTCAATCTGAAATTAGAAATGCTTAGACAAACCCCTTGAATCCTCTGTCAAATGATAGAGGGAAATCTTAAATGCTTATCTTAGAACCAGTGAAATATTGGAAGCTGCCCACAATAATTTAAATACTGAAATATAGGATTCAATTACTGAATTACATACACAGCTGTACTGTGAGGTATGTTCACATATAAGAAGTTGCCCAGGACCAGAGACCAATAGCTGAATGAAAGCATGTTGAAAGCATACCTCTTCCAGACTGAGTTGCAAATACTCAAAGATCTTATATGGATTTCTTCTGCATACTAGTCTCTTTCTTTGCATCAACTGAAGAAAAAGAGATAAAACATATAAAGAACAAATGGAAGCACCACAAGTCATATAGAAGAGACAGTATCTTTTTTTTTTTTTTTTGAGTTGGAGTCTCACTCTGTCGTCCAGGTTGGAGTGCAGTGGCATGCTCACAGTCACTGCAGCCTTGACCTGGGTCAGGCTGATCCTTCCACCTCAGCCTTCCAAGTAGCTGGAACTACAGGCATGTGTCACCTCACCTGGCTAATTTTTTGATTTATTGTAGAGATGAGGTCTTGCCAAGTTGCCCAGGTTGGTCTCAAACCCATGGGCTCAGGCAATCATCTCACCTGGGCCTCCCAAAGTGCTAGGATTACAGGTGTGAATATTGAACATTCTTCTTATAAATTCCCAAGATTCACATGCTATTGGGTTAACACTGTAAACAAAATGATTTTTATTACTTATGTGGAAAAGGAAGTTTTAATTTTTCCACTAGAAACATACTGATTTATTTCCTTTTCCCCCCAAGAATTTTACCTGCAATTGTGACCATTTTGCTGAATTTTACGCATTGCTTTTCTTCACCCACTGTACCTCATATGCATGTGCCTATGTTAATAGGACTTCATAAACCTCATGCAAGGCTACATATTCCTTCTTCAAATGGGTATTTCATATACAATTTAACCATAAGATTTTTCTAGTTTTTAGCAATTACAGACAATTCTTGGGTAACTATCTCTTACAGCATGTCCCTCAATGAAGCAGCTCTCAGTCAGTTTCCCCATGCTTCTCTTGTGATGGCTGACTTCCACATGTAAGCCTCTCCTGTCAGCTGTACTCAAGATCATGCATAATTACTGCTGACTTTCATTTTCTCCCAAACAAGACAGAGAATATTAGCCTTGCTTTAGTTTATACATTTTTAAAGAATTAAAGTTAGGCTGGGTTAGGTGGCTCAGCCTGTAATCTCAGCACTTTGGGAGGCCGAGGCAAGTGGATTGCCTGAGCCCGCGGGTTCGAGATCAGCCTAGGCAACTTGGCGAGACCTCATCTCTACAATAAATAAAAAATTAGTTGGGCATGGTAGCAAGTGCCTGTAGTTCCAGCTACTTGGAAGGCTGAGGCAGAAGGATCACCAATGCCCAGTAGATCGACACTGGGGTGGCTGTGAGTGTGCCGCTGTACTCCGGTCTGGGCAATGGAGTGAGACTCCAACTCAAAAAAAAGAATTAAGTTATTCACTAACATTGTTTTAGAAGAAACGACCCTCACGACCCTCACAGCTGTTGGGTCATCAGGACGGGGACCCAGACCCTGATGGTCATCTTGGATCTCACAACAGGCTTGCTACCAGCTGCAGGTAATGGACATCCCTGTTGGCCAACATCTCCAAAACAGATGGCTTTGGAGGAAGTGATTTGTTTCCCTCTACTTACTTTCTCATTTGGGATATCCTCCCCATCACTCAGGACACCTGTCACTTCTTCCACCAGCACACACTCATGAGTGGGTCCTCTCTCTCCTGCACAGGGGAGACTCATGTGTTGGCTGCTATCCTTGGGGTGAGGGCCGCATGGGGGGATGACAGCATCTTGTTTGCAATCACAGACTTCGTGTAGAGGGGTGGAATCCTCTACCGCATGTGTATCAAAGTCGTCTGTAGTCAGGGGGTCCTGCCCAGAGTCCTCCTGCAGGCTGGGATCCTCCATATCATCTGACTTTCCAGAATCCCCATTCATCACAGAAAGTCTCTCTTTCTCTGCCGTGTCTTCCATGCTGGAAACCATTTCAGAGTTAAGCTTATCATGCAGGTGAACCTCTTCATTCCTTTTTACAGGAGGATGTTCAAGTGGTTTTGTAAAATCCTTGAGGATCCTGTGCACTGTGCTCTCATCGTGCCCCTGCCTATGCATGCACTTTGCAGCCCATTCTACATTACGCTGATACCTGCAAGACAGAACACTGTTAGTAACAACACTTGAATTTCAAAATTGAAAAGACAACAAAGCACATAAGAGATTTGAAGGCAATATGCCAAAATGTTTATAGCTAAAATGTTACTGAATGGTGAATTATAGGTAAAGATTTTTCTTCTTTATATTTTTCTGCATTTTCTAAGTAGTCTGTAACAAGCATGTGCTACTTTTTGTTTCTTTATTTTTATTAATAGAGCTTCATTTTATTTGATTTGAAAAAGAAAATTTACCCCCTACTAAACAAAATATGAAAATATATGTAAACTAAAATTGGTGGACCAAGTGTTTTGGGTAAAGAGATGGAGAAAACGGCCATCCTTTATCAGGATTTGTTTTATATTATTTTCAACTTTTGGATCTCACAATGTTTTCAGGTAGAGATGTCACTCATGATAATACAGCGCCTTTGTTTTGTACTGGAAGGCAAAATGAGAATTTCAATACATATTCATCACAGTAGCTAATAAACTCTTCACTGAATATGGAAAGAAATAATTTGGTTTATATCTACGCATCCAAATATTCTAATAGAAATGGTCCTCTTTCCCATAACAGTTTTCAGAGTACATTTTAATGAGAAAATACATGTTAAGTTTCTAAAACTTGAGGGTAACACCTGAATACTCTCCAAATAACAAAAAGTTATAGGCAAGCCCTAGTGAAAAGGTGTCCATGACTAACAGGGTGTTGGGATGTGTCCACGTGATGTAAGAACTACCCCATGTTGGAAATCTGAAGATTAAAAGGCCAAAAACATTGTGACACTCAAGAACTCTTTGCCTCACCTGCAGCAATCTGTCTAAAAAGCATCTAAGACAACACCTGACTTGTGAAAAGGCAGGCCTAATTTTACTTTTCATTTTATTTTACCTGTGTTTAGATGTTTAGATGACTGAATATGTTGTAGTTTATAAACTGCTACACCTCACACAATTAAACAAGGAAGCTGATTTCTGTGTTACCTAAAAAGAGATTTGTGGCTGCTTAACCCTGATGCCTAAGAATCTCCAAGCTGCCCACGCCCTGTTTATCCCACATGGAGATGAGCACGTATCCCTAAATACTGGAAATGGCATCTTAAAGATTAAAACCTGGCAAGGCTACCTTACTACCTGAGAGGTGGTATGATGCAGTGACTTTGATATCGCACATCGTGTGACCAGTCTTGACTCTCTCACTGACAACTGTGTAACAATGCAAATTACTTAATTTCTCTGTGCTTCAATTTCCCCATCTATAAAATTGGGACAATAGTACTACCACCTCAAAGGGATCTTGTTTATGTACTGCTTTTGTAGCCGGGAAAAACAGTGCAGCTGCCCAAAACAGAAGGGTGTTTTTCCACTTATGACATGACAAACAGAATTTTTTTTTGGTTTTTGAGTTGGAGTTGCCCAGGCTGGAGTGCCATGGCATGTTCACAACCATTGCAGCCTGACCTGCTGGGCTCAGGTGATCCTTTCACCTCAGCCTTCCACATAGCTGGAACCATAGGCATGCGCCACCACGCCCAGCTAGTTTTTTGATTTATCGTAGAAACAAAGTCTCACCATGTTGCCCAGGCAGGCCTCAAACCCCTGGGGTAAGGCAATCCTCTTGCCTCGGTCTCCCAAAGTGCTGGGATTACAGACGTGAACCACTGACCCTGGCTTAAGAATTTTCATTTGAGAGATCTAAGAAAAAGGAATTTTGGCTGGGCATGGTGGGTCACACCTGTAATCCTAGCACTCTGTGACACTGAGGTAGGCAGACTGCTTGAGCCCAGGAGTTCAAGACCAGCCTAGGCAACATAACGAGACCTAGACTCTACCAAAAAAAAAATTAGCTGGTCATGGTGTTGTGTGTCTGTAGTCTCAGCTGCCAGGTATGCTAAGGGGGAAGGATCGCCTGAGTCCAGGAGGTACAGCCTGGGCGACAGAGTGAGACTTCAACTCAAAAATAATCTTATCTCTGCATAGAAAAAGTATTGGCTCTACAGGGTCTATGAATCTTCTTTGTTTGAACATATTTTTGTGTGTGTCAATGTATATTTTTCTGGGGAAGGAATCTGTAATTTTCATCAAATTCCTTGACTCAAAAGATGTGAAAGAACCACTGAATTAAAAGTTCAAGCCGGGCTCGGTGGCTCAGCCTGTAATCCCGTGCTTTTGGGAGGCTGAGGTGAGTGGATTGCCTGAGCCCGCGGGTTCAAGACCCATCTGGGCAACTTGGCGAGACCTCATCTCTACAATAAATCAAAAATCAGCCGGGCATGGTAGCGCGTGCCTGTAATTCCGGCTACTTGGAAGGCTGAGGCAGAAGGATTGCCGGAGCCCAGCAGGTCGAGGCTGCGGTGGCCGGGAGCGGCCACTGCACTCCAGTCTGGGCAACAGAGTGAGACTCCAACTCAAAAAAATAAATAAGTAAATAAATAAAAGTTCAACAGTTCCTCCTTCAAGCAGAAGATCTGGAACTAAGTGAGTACATACAGGGCACCACTCTGCTCTTTGCAGTACAATAGTTAAGGCAGACAGAGTTCCAATCCTAGCTCCACCACTTTCTCACACTAGCTATACAACCCTACCTCTCTAAAGGCTCAGTGATCACCTGAAACCAGTGATAACTCTACCTACCTCCTGGGGTTGCAGCAAGGATTAAAGGAGATATATAAAGTACATAGCACATGAGAAGTGCTCAATAAATATCTGCCACTGTATTATTGTGTAGGTTTTAGGGGTGGCTTGAAAAGTTAAGTCAACTGGAGTCAACACATATTGTATTTTTAAATATGTTCATGATGGAAATGTCCTCCTTAATCAGATGTTCTTTGAGAACGAGGCAGTAGCATGGGGACAAGGGCTGCCTTAGGAGTTCTGGGTTTTGGAGTTGGCTCTTCTGTGTGGTTCTGAGCTAAGGCACTTACATCTCTACCTCTCTGCTCTTGCTGGCCACATGCAAGAACCACGCCTGCATTACTGCCTCTGTCATCTCAGAGGATCGCTATGAAAGCCCAAGAGAGATAACGGCCACTAGAGCATGTAAAAGAAAGTCTCTGAATAAGACTGATGATGAAAAGAGCCAGAAATGCAAATGACTAAGACCAATGGCATATGAGTCAGGGAGCCAAAGGTGTTCTGTTTGCTGGCTGGAAGTGTCTTTTCACTGGTCAGCAATGCCTTAAAAAGTCAGGTCCTGCTGTGATCAACCCAGATACACGGAGAAGCTGCAGAAAGAGAAACATAAGCAGAAAAAAGCAGAAGTCATAAGGGGGAGAGGGGCAGAAGGAAGAGGCAGCAGCCATGACCAGCAGTCATAATGGGACTGGTGAAAAGTGAAGCCCCGGCTGGGCTCGGTGGCTCAGCCTGTAATCCCAGCACTTTGGGTGACCGAGGTGAGAAGATTGCCTGAGCCTGTGGGTTTGAGACCCACCCGGGCAACTTGGTGAGACCTCGTCTCTACAATAAATAAAAAATTAGCTGGGCATGGTAGCATGGGCTTGTAGTTTCAGCTACTTGGAAGGCTGAGTTGGAAGAACTGCAGGAACCCAGCAGGTCGAGGCTGCAATGGCTGGGAGCATACCACTGCCCTCCAGCCTGGTGGGCCTTAAGACAGAGTGAGACTCTAACTTAAAAAAAGAAAAAAAAAAAAAAAAAAGTGAAGCCCCTAAGCGTGGCAAGAACCTGAGATGGTCTCATCTGAATATGACACATCTTCTCGTGTTTCTATGCCCTTGAACACACCTCTCCCATTGGCATAGAACACCTTTCTCCATCGTGTTATTAATGTCCATGTATCACTGGAAGGTCACAGCAAAGTGGTTTAGAGTACAGGTTCTATACGGACTGCTTAGGTTCACATGCAGACTTTGAGCAAGCAACTTAACCTCCCTGTGGTTTGGTTTCTTCACCTGTCAAAGAGTGATGTAAGGACATAAAGAGATCATACACAGACCCGTCATTAGCATAGTGCCTAGCATATGGAATATACTCAAGAACTGCCAGTAAGTTCACCTATTTTATTCTTTTCATTATGTGCCAACTCCTCTCAGGTTCTGGAGCTGAGCCCCCATAATCTTGGGAAAGATAGTTTACCTTAAGAAGATGAAATGAGGTAATGCAGGAAAAGCACACAGCCTGGGAACTGTCACTGCTAGAGCAGCCAGTACCTGTTGGCTAGGACAATGATGATCTCTACCACAACACTTATTCTAGAAGAGCGCTACTGCTTACTGCTCTTTCTCTCCCACTAGAATGTAAATTCCTCAAGAATAGAGACTAGGTCATTTTCCCACTGTTGTATCTTTAGCACCTACCCAATGCCTGACACATAGTAAATGCTGACTGAAGAAAGGGCCACAACAAGTAGGAGGGACCAGTACCACCCTCAGGGCTGGTCCTTCAGGGACATACCTCTACACACATCAGTTCCCCAAAGGCATCACTAGAGGGTCCTGATGTTTGCCTCTAGAAAGAGTTACATAAAGGTTATCAAAGGACAACTATTGTTTGAAAAAGGACAATTAGAGCGAAGCCACTTGAAATAGGGATTAGAATTTCAGAGGGATTAGTAAAGAAATAATTATGACAAGCACTTAAGTTGGAAATGTAACCTAAATAGATGAACATGAATCTATTTTTTCATATAGTTAACAAAATTCATACTGTGATTCCAAATGTTATAAACAAATAATGAATCAAGTACTGATTTTGAAGGGAGACATATATAACTTGCTGATAGAATCGTACTTATAACATTTTCTGACATCCTTAAGTTCACACAGGTAAATAGGTTGCTGCAACCTGAAAACTTCTTATTAAAAATTAATCCCACACAAGCATATCCTCCCTTCAAGCAACACTCCTACCCTGTTACTATGTGTCATGTCTATGTCACTTTACCCTTTGTTATGGTAATGTAAATTCAGTGCAAGGAGGGGAATTGAACATCTGAATCTTGCAGAAAGGAGGCAGGGGTCATGAAGTTGATGAAAGTGATCAAGTACAGGCAAAACAATTTAAAAATGAGAATCTGGCAATTAGACTAGTCTACAACTGAAGAAAAAAATTCACTAGGGTGATAGCACAATAAGGCACATCAAAAGTGTTAAGGGGAGAAGAATGTTTGAGTCCATGTGAGTTTATCCAGGCCTGTTTATTAGTAAATATTTCATATTATCACTTTTGTTTCCCAGTGCAACTTTGTGACTATGAGGTCTTAGATAATCAATAGCTGGATAACATAGACCTCCGGAGCTACTTTTAATAAATAATACACATGAGGATTTCTGTAGTTGAATTGTATCCCCCTAAAAGATATGTTCAATTTCTAACCCCTAGTACCTGCAAATATGTCCTTATCTGAAAACAGGGTCTTTGCAAATGGAATCAATTTAGAATGAGGACACAGCGACTAGTGTCCTTAAGAGAAGAGAGAAATATCATGAACACCCACACCTTGAAAATATGCACATCTATTATGTATCAACTTTTTAAAAAGCAAAGAAAAGAAGAGAGAAATTTATTTATTTATTTATTTTTGAGTTGGAGTCTCATTCTGTCGCCCAGACTGGAGTGCTGTGGCCGCTCCCAGCTACCACAGCCTCGACCTGCTGGGCTCCGGCGATCCTTCCGCCTCAGCCTTCCAAGTAGCTGGAACTACAGGCGCGCACAACCACGCCTGGCTAATTTTTTGATTTATTGTAGAGATGAGGTCTCGCCAAGTTGCCCAGGCGGGTCTCGAACCCATGGGCTCAGGCAATCCACTCACCTCAGCCTCCCAAAGCGCGGGATTACAGGCTGAGCCACTGAGCCTGACTGAAGAGAGAAATTTAGACAAAGACAAACAGAAACACACACGGGAAGAATGTCATGTGATGACAGAGATAGAGATTACAGTAATATGTCCACAGGCCAAGAAATGCCAAGGATTCCTGGGAACCACCAGAAGGGAAGTCAGGCAAGGAAGGATCCTCCCCTAGAACCTTCTGGGGGAGTGTGGTTCTGCCGACACCTTTTTAACTCAGAACTATGAAAGAATAAATTTCTGTTGTTTCAAGTCATCAAGTTTGTGGTACTTTGCTATGGAAGCCTAAGAAACTAATACAAGGTTCAATAAAACTTCTTGGAATGCTGCACTGTAGTGCTTACAAAAGGATACTCTTCAGGGATGTGGCCCTCTACCCGTCCAGAACCTCTCATACACTCAAACTGGCCTGACCTCATGCCATCTATACGGCCAGTCTGACTGACAAGGCTGTGGTTCTTATGGGCAGGACTCCTGCTCTGTTTCTGAATTTATTCTTTCACAACTCTGAGTTTAAAAGTCCAAAATCAAGGTGTCGGCAGAGCCACACTCCCTCAGAAGGTTGTAGGGGAGGATCCTTCCTTGCCTGACTTCCCTTCTGGTGGTTCCCAGCAATCCTTGGTATTTCTTGGCTGGGGCAATCTGCCCTTTCTGGGATGAGGCTCTGCCAGGTTCTTAGCAGGCCCCTCCCACAGACCAGAATCCTACCCCTGATCCCAGGCTATGGTTACAGTCAGAACTGCCATTAAGATCTCCCTGGTGCCACTGCCTTTCAGCCACTCTCTGGTCATGGGGTTGCCAGGCGTGTTACCAAAAACAAGCTGTTGGATGTGCTAGAACCAAGATGGAAAAATCCACTGTGGATTTGAGAAATTTTATGAAGTTTCATGGAAGAGCTGCAACTTGAACTGTACCACAAGGATAAGGAGGCTTGGGATGGACAAAGAGTTAGTCAATAAAATCTTACCAAGGGACTGCTAAGTGTGGAGCTGCAGAAAAGGGCAGGGCAAGGTCCCTGCTCCAAGGACTGACAGTCTGAATGCATGTATGAGGGATGACAGAGTGCCACATGCCAAAGGAGATTCTGTGGGGGGCCACAGGAGCAGCGACCAGGCCAGAGGGGGACTGTGGTGAGGAAAGAAACCCAGGAGAGATGACATGTGAGCAGGATCAAGGATGTGCAGGAGTCAGTCAGGCAGTGTGCATGTGTCTGGGGGTCAGGTAGCAACGTTCTGGGAATGTCTAGGAGTGGATAAGGAAGAGCCTTCCAGTGTAGTGTGAGGAAGGAGTACTGGACTGTCTGTGCCCACAGCACAGAAGGCCAGCTTGACATCTAAGTCCAAGCATCTGAGGACTTAATAACGTAGTCATTACAGCACACTTATTCATATTTTGGAAGGACTTCAACTGGCAAAGCATTATTTAAACAAGTAATAAATTCACTTAATGCATTTCAAAAGTGATTTGATCCACATTAAATTCAGACACAATTTTCAAGGATACATCTACTACAAATAAAAAAGAAAAAAGCGTGTGGACTGCCACATCAAACAAGACTACCTAAAAACAGATCTGATTTAAATCACAATTTCGGCCAAAGTCAAAGTTCATTGTGACTTACCTCTTTGATGTGATGATAGGCATATTGGTCTTCATATCTGTAACAACAAAGAAGTTGTCAGTTTCAGGCAAATTTTCCTTAAGGAGAAAAAAGATACATGTCAAAAGTCCAGGAAATGTCAAAATTCACAAAACCACATACCTCGAAGATTAATACTGTCCAATCAGCGATGGTAAAAACATGATTTGATGTGCCTTCCTTCCCTACACCCACACCCTGGCAGCTGCTGCCCACCCATCGCATCACTCTTGCTGAGCTTAGATGGGACCTCAGAAGCTTTTTCAACTTGGTGCTCCAGTTAAGCAGCAATGGCATGTGAGAGAAAGCCTCCGCACCACGTTGGAATGCTCATTCCAATTTCTAGATGAGAATACTGAGGCCCTAGAGTACGTACTTTACCTGCATTCCCCTCTTCATTCAAGGCGCCTCATGTGTGCATATAAAAAGGGCCGGAAAAGTACACTTGCTAGAAGTGTTAGTTTGGGAAGTTCTGGGCTCCAGCTCTAGCTCTCTCTCCAGGGCCTCTCACAAACCCAAACTGGCTTGACCTCACATTGTCTTTGTAGCCAGCTTGCTGAGGACACAGTTCAAATGGGTGGGATCCAGCTCTGCCTCTGAAACCCAGTTCTAGTTGTGGTGACCTGCTTGTACTGCAGATATAGGCAGGGCATTAGGAGGGAAGAGCCTTTCCACCTAAGATGTTTAACAGTCACCTAGTGGTCCGTGTTTTCATCCTGGTCCTCTTTGATGCTGCCTTTTTGCAACTTGTTTCTCCTTTCCCAAACTCAGCCTCCTCCATACGCATTAAAGGCTTGGGACAGATGATGTTCAGGTTTAGCACCCAAGGAAAGTTAACATATCCATCCAAGACCAGCACACCTACCCAGGAAAGCTATAGACTAGTGAGCACACTGGTTGCTGTTTAAAGCCAGGACATTTTGGGGTGTCTATTAAGCAGCATTATTGTGACAAGAGTAATAACAAAGTTTATCCATGAGAATTGAACAAATTACTGTTTTAAAGTTGCTCAAAATAGTTTATCCCTGTGTGATTATACAGACCAACTTGATACAAGTATTCAGTTACTTCATGTCTCTCTCCCTTTTTTTTTTTTTGAGTCACAGTCTCACTCTGTCACCCAGGCTAGAGTGCAGTGGCATGATCACAGCTCACTGCCTGTAATCCCAGCACTTGGGAGCCTCAGGTGGGAAAACTGCCTAACATCAGGAATGCAAGACCACCTTGGGCAACACAGTGAGACCTTGTATCTACAAAAAACAAAAACAAAAAACTGGTGTGGGGCAACCCCCTTGGGTCCCCTCCAATGTGGGACCTCTTCTCAATAAATCCTGCTTTCTCACTTTCCAGGTGTCCATGTCCCTCCTTCCTTCTGGGCACAAGACAAGAACTCCAACCTGAAGAGCTGCAGAGGATTGACAGAGTCCGAAGAGCTGTGTACCCCGGAGGATGGCTTGCCAGCCGGCGGAGCTGACTAAACCGGGAGAGCTGCTGGAAGAAGGTGAGACTCCGAAGCTGAGACACTTCTGGGGGCTGCAACACTCTCAGGGCTTGGTTTCCCAGCCCATTAGAGCCAACACTCTGGGGGCTAGGCTTGCCAGCCCAGCGAATCAGCAACACTCTCAAAGCTTGGCTTACCAGCCCAAGAGAGTCAACACTTCTAGGGCTAGGCTTGCCAGCCCATCGAGCTGACCCTCTCTGGGGCTCAGCTGGCTGACCCATTGAGCTGACATTCTCAAAATCCAGGCTGACCTGAAAAATCTGTATCAGAAGTATATTGCTGTAGGGTTGTTACATTGTATGTGAAGTGGTTCAATATTATTTGATGGTAGACTGTGATAAGTTGAAAGTGTCTATTGTAAACCCTAGAGCAGCAACAGCAAAAAAAAAAAAAAAAAACATAGCTAATAAGCCAGTACTGGAAATAAAAATAAATTCTAAAAAATAATTAATTAAAAAAAACAAAACAAAACTGGTGTGGTGGTGTGTGCCTACAGTCTCAACTATTCAGGAGGCTGAGGTAGGAGGATTGCTTAAGCCCAGGAGTTAAAGGGTACCATGAGTTGGAGGGTACTTGTACCACTACACTCCAATCTGGGCTACAGAGTGAGATCCTGACTCAAGAAAAAGAAAAATGGCTTCTCTTTCCATTAAAAAAATACAAGCAAATATATATTTATTTAAATTTCTCCCTTTTTAGATAAGGCATAGCACACTGTGCACTATCCTTTACCTTGCTCTGTTCACTTAATAATATATCCCAGCAATCCCTGTTCCATCTTGGCTCCACAGTACTTCACCTTTAGAATGCACTACAGTAACTGGTCCCCTCCTGATAGACATTTGAGTTGTTCCCAGTCTTTGACTATTACAAACAGTGTTGCAATGAATAGCCTTCTGCTATTACCTTTCATATTTTTGCCAGTGTATCATTAAGATAAATTCCTAGAACTGCAATTGCTGGGTTAAAGGTAAATGAATGTACGAGGACAACTGGATAGCAACAGGAAAACAATGAAGGTGGACACTTACTCTGTATAAAAATTAATTCAAAATGGGCCAAAGACCTCAACTTAAGAGCTAAAACTATAAAGTTCTTAGAAGAAAATAGAGGAAAACCTGAATGTTTTGAAATTGGCAATAGTTTCTTAAATATGATACCAAAATCACAGACAATAAGAGAAAAAAATAGATAAACTGAACTTCATTAAAATAAACAACTTTTAGTACTTCGCACCCATTAAGATGACTATCATTTAAAAAAAAACAAAAAGTGTTGGCAAAGATGTGGAGAAACTGAAACCCTTGGGACATTTCTGGTGGGAATGTAAAATGGTGCAGCAAATATGGAAAAGTTTGGCTATTTCTTAAAAAGTTAAACACAGAATTACCATTTGATCCAGTAACTCCACTCCTAAGTATATATCCCAAACAACTGAAAATAGAGACTCAAACAGACACCTGTGTCCTTGTGTTCACAACAGTATTATTCACAATAGTCAAATGTAGGAATTTACGAGTCCATCAACAGGTGAATGGATTAACAAAATATGCCATATGCATACAATGAAATTATTACTCAGCCATAAAAAGGAATGAATGAAGTTCTGACACACACTATGGCAAGGACAAGTCTGGAAAACATTATGCTAAGTGAAAGAAGCCAGACATAAAAGAACAAATATTGTATAATTCTACTTATATATATAAGATATCTAGAGTAGGCAATGTCATAGACAGAAAATACATAAAGGCTACCAGGGACTGAGGGGAGAGAGAAATGGAGGACAAGAAAAAAAATGCATGTACAATTTTTCTGGACACTACTAAATTCCTATTCATAAGGGCTGCACCACTTGCAGTCCCAACAACAATACATGAGAATGGCTGTTTCTCACCAACGAAGCATATTACCAAACTTCTGGATTTTTGTCTGATTGTTGAAGTGATATCTCAGTGCAGCTTTAATCTGTGTATTTTCTTATAACAAAACGTTTGAAGATCCTTTCTAATTACATTTTATTCTGCTGGTATTACCTTGAGATTTCCTTAGAGAAATACATTAAAATAAAAGATTAAAGAAGAGAGAACAAGTCGGGCTCAGTGGCTCAGCCTGTAATCCCGCGCCTTTGGAAGGCTGAGGTGAGTGGATTGCCTGAGCCTGCAGGTTCGATAAATCAAAAAAATTAGCTGGGCGTGGTAGCACACACCTGTGGTTCCAGCTACTTGGAAGGCTGAGGCGGAAGGATCGCCGGAGCCCAGCAGGTCAAGGCTGCGGTGGCTGGGAGTGACCACTGCACTCCACTCTGGGTGACAGAGTGAGACTCCGACTCAAAAGAAAAAAAAGAAAAGAGAACTAGCAAGTGAGAACTTCAAATGTTGTTTTTTGATTCAGGGGTCTCACTCACTCTGTCACCCAGGCTGCAGTGCTGTGGTACTACCAGGGCTCACTGCAGCCTTGACATCCTGGGTTCAGGCAATCTTTCCACTTCAGCCTCCAGAATAGTTGGGACTAAAAGCATATGCCATCATGCCTGGCTAATTAAAAAAAAATTTTTTTTTGTAGAGATGGGGTCTCATTATGTTGCCCAGGCTGGTCTTGAACTCCTGAGCTCAAGTGGTCCTTCTGCCTTGGCCTCCCAAAGTGCTGCTGGGATTATAGGTGTGAGCCACCATACCTGGTCTCACATGGGTATGTTTTAACACATGTCAGTGACATGGTTATTGTAAATTCTAACTCTCTTTGAAATCTTTTTGCAAAGTGCCACAGGTAAGTAGGTACCACATGCAGAGTACTCTGCCAGGCAATGCTTAACACCAGAAAAGCCCAAATAACACCTGTGATACTTCTAGAAATAAGTTAAAAAGCTTTCATCAATCATAAGAATGCTTTGCTTTGATTCGAATTATCCTAGCTGTTATTTTTGGCAGTAAATTTGCCAGAGTACATGTTATTCCCCTCTAGAATTTCACTATATAATCTTAGGTGCAAGATCAAAAATGAAAGAAAATGAAACTTTTCCAAAAGAATGCAATAATGCACAAGTTTACCTTTCCATTTAGCAACCAGCTTAGGATCTGAAACTGTGAAGTTTGGACGGCTTCTTGAAAGAATACCTTTTCCAAAATATCCCTTCCGAGAAGAGAGAAAATAAAGTTAGTTTATATTTAGTTACCATTTTAGCTGAAGTAGAATATACAGCTGTCCTGTGGTATCTGTCGGGGGGGGGAGGAGTTCAAGACCTCTTATGGATACCAAACATTGCAGATGCTCGAGTCCCTAATATAAAATGACATCATAGTAGTTGTATATAACCTATGCACATCCTCCTGCATACTTCGAATCATCAATTACTTATAAAAGCTAATGCAATACAAATGCTGTGTAAACAGTTGCTACATTGCATTGTCTAAATAATAACGACAAAAAGAGTCTGTACATGTTTTTATAGACACAATTTTTCCCCCCAAATATTTTTGATCTGAGGTAGGTTGAATTAGGGAGGTGGAACCCACAGGCAGAGAACTAACTGTAACTATTTGAATTAAGAAGTTCATACCACTTTCACAGCTTTACATTTTCCCTCTGAATATCTAATAATTACTAACGATGTTCCTAGCATATTATCTCTCTGATCGTTTGAAGAGTATAAGTTTTTGTTTTTTTTTTTGAGTTGGAGTCTCACTCTGTCGCCCAGACTGGAGTGCAGTGGCCGCTCCTGGCCACCGCAGCCTCCACCTGCTGGGCTCTGGCAATACTTCCGCCTCAGCCTTCCGAGTAGCTGGAACTACAGACGCGCGCTACCACGCCCGGCTAATTTTTGATGTATTGTGGAGATGAGGTCTTGTTGCCCAGGCGGGTCTTGAACTTGCGGGCTCAGGCAATCCACTCACCTCAGCCTCCCAAAGGCGCAGGATTACAGGCTGAGCCACCCGAGCCCAGCTGAGTGTAAGTTTTTAGCACTCCTCATTTATCCTGTCACTAGTGATTTCAGTCCAGGTCTGATAAGCTGAGGACAGGCAGAGGCACAGTTCCTTCTTCACGTGTGGTTAAGGAACAATGTGCCTGATAGCAGAAGCCATGCGCACTAGGTACAAAAAGCTTCTTGGATTCTTTTGTATTCCATTCCTCTCATTCCTGTGATTCTAAAATACATATATTTTCTCCTTATTATAAAATATTTAAACACATAGAAAATTGAAAGAATAATAAAAAGAACACCCTTTACCCTCCACTTAGATTTAATAATCAGAACAAACAATGGGTACAGCACTTTTTATAAAGCCTCTTGCTTAATGTCACATATTGTGAACACAGGCCTTGCTGATGAGGTGCCTGGAGACAGTGCCCTTGGCCTATTCAGACTCCCACCTCACCAGGGTCAATGCCACCCACTCACCAATAAAATGTCTAGAGAAAACACATTTATAGAGACAGGAAAGCAATCAGTGACTGCCTTGGGCTGGGAGTGGGAGAAGGGATTAAGTGCAATGGGCACAAGGGAAATTTCTGTGGTGATGGGAACCTTCTAAAACTGGATTTGTGGTGAGGGTTGCACAACTCTATAAATTTACGACAATCACTCAATTGTACTCTTACAATGGGTGAATTTTATGATTGTAAATTATAACTCAACAAAGCTGCTAAAAAATGCCCCCAGTAATGAATAAACTATGGAAAAAAGTGAAAAAAAACCAACAAGAAAGCTTCCTTCCAGTTTTAACCAAAACCAATTATTCCCGAAAAACGAAAACTAGACCTTGCCCTCATCTAAGAAGTCCCCAACCAGGAGAGAGAGCAGATAAGGAGTTATATTCTAAATTCCCATCTGATTTGTTCATGAGCTGGAACAATATGCCATTCTGTGGCTACCTCCAGGAATGGAAGGGGAATGAGTGGGGAATTTTCACCTTTTAACCCACCACATTTCTGTAAATAACTTTTAAAATTTATTATTACTACAATGAACATGCATTGGTTTTATAATTGAAAGACAAAAAAGGTCAACACACTGAAATAAAGGTTTGTAGGTGGGAACACTCCATTTGTCATTTTATTATCTTCATAAGATATGGCTTTTAGGCATGTGATTCAAATTGTATTGTTTCTACACTGGACCAAACTGCAAGGAAAGCATATGCATTGTTTATGGTTGTTTCAGTTGGGAGGAGTGTGGATGGATCGGGAGAAGGAGAAAGGATTCCTTGCTCAAGATTGTCAGAGTAGCCATACCAGGCTGCCTGCACTTACTTTCCCATACAGCTGCTCAATGTCCTCTGCATTCTTCACAATCACATTGTTGTTAATCATTTCAGCACGGAATATCTTAAATTCTTTGTTAAGACCACAGTCCTGACCAAAAGGGATCGGCAATGGAGATTCATAATTCTCATACACTCTTCTTTTCCGCTTTGGGGCATGGAAAACTGCTTCTGCCATTTTTCAGGGGAACTAGCTTCTGAAGAGAAGACGACAAGGAGAAAGAAACAGTCAAGTTATGCTGACCAAAAATGTGAGTACATCTATACCTACCTAGGCTCAGAAAATCCCGTGATCTGTGAGGGAAAAAAACAATGTTTACAAAGCGATAAAGCAAAAGACACGGTAATAAGAACATTTTGTATGCACAGTACAAATTATATTCACCTAGAAAATTACAATTAATCCCCACAACAACCCCCAAGAAGTGGTATTATTCCTAACTACACCTGACAACATTGAGACCTAGTCACACACTCCAAGTTGCAATGCTACTTGAGAGCAAGCACAGTAAGATTTTTGTCTAACAGGATTACATTTATTCTTTCACTTAGCCAATACACATTTACTGAATACCTATCAGAAACTCCTAATACCTGTAGGTGCTGGGAATAGAAAGATAAAACGAGAGATGTTAGATTTAACAAATTAAATCTAACAACAAAAATAATGAAAAAAGAAAAAGGCTGGATGCAATGCTTGTAATCCAGCACTTTGGGAGGCAGAGGCAAGAGACCAGTCTCGTCTACAATAAATCAAAAAATTAGCCAGGCATGGTGGTTCCAGCTGCTTGGAAGGCTGAGGCAAAAGGATCACCTAAGCAGAGCTAATCAAGCCTACAGTAGCTGTGAACATGCCACAGTATGCCAGCCTGGACAACAAAGTGAGACTCTGACTCAAAATAAATAAATAATTAATTAATTAAATCTAACAAGCACTTCATTCCCCCCCCCCAAAAAGGATCTTAAAACACACTCTGACAATGGGTACCAGTTTATTTATTTATTTATTTATTTATTTATTTTTGTTTGAGTTGGAGTCTCACTCTGTTGCCCAGGCTGGCGTACTGTGGCATGCTCACAGCTACCACAGGCTTGATTGGCTCTGCTCAGGTGATCCTTTTGCCTCAGCCTTCCAAGTAGCTGGAACTACAGGCGCACGCTACCAGGCCCCAAATTTTTTTGATTTTTATTGTAGAGATGAAGTCTCGCCAAGTTGCCCAGGTGGGTCTCGAACCCGAGGGCTCAGACAATTCACTCACCTCAGCCTCCCAAAGCGCGGGATTACAGGCTAAGCCACCAAGCCCGGTCAGCTCCCCATTTTAAAAGTAAACTAATAAATAATAACTATGATAGTAGCAGTTATCACATAAGGGTCTATTATATACCACCAAATGCTAACTGGCTTCGAGCAGGGACTCTAAAGCTAGGCTATTAGAGTTGGAACTGACTTCACCACTTCATAGCTGCATGATTTTGGGCAAAAGTTACTGAATCTCTCCATGCTTTAGTTTCTTCATCTGAAAAGTTCAGAAAAAAATAGATTCTTTCTTATATTTAAGACCCATAACGGGCTTAGAACACTACATAATGCATAGCGAGCTCTATGCATGTATCAGCCATAGTTATTGTGGAATGAACACTAACAATACCATTTCCCAAATGAGGAAACAAATTCAATAAAGAGTTCTGAGAGTGGTGGCACTGGATGACACCAAGTCTGTTGAACTCCAAAACTCATGCCTTCTCTCTGGGTTCTGCTCCAAGAAGAGGTAGAGTCTACTTTTTAAAAAGTATACTCTGTCTCCTAGGCTGGAATGTAGTGGTGCCATCATAGCTCACTGTACCCTCCAACTCCTAGGCTCAAGAGATCCTCCCATCTCAGCTTTCTGAGTAGCCAGGACTACAGGTACACACTACCACGCATGGCTAATCTGTTCATTTTTGTCTGACAGCTACCTTTCGAAGTCAGAAGTTGAAGTTAATGAGCAATTATGGAATTGCCCACTATGAACTCAGCACTACAAAAAAGAAAAGGAAGCTGAAGCCAGTAACTCTCCCTTTCAGGCCTTACTTTTTTTTTTTTTTTTTTTAAGTCAGGGGTCTCATTCTGTCACCCTGGCTGGAATGCAGTGGCACTGCAGCCTCAACTTCCTAGGCTCAGGTGATCTTCCACCTCAGCCTTCCAAGTAGCCGGGACTACAGGCATGTGACACCATCCAGCTAATTTTTTGAATTTTTGTAGAGATGAGGTCTCACTATGTTGCCCAGGCTGGTATCGAACTCCTGGGCTCAATCAATCCTCTTGCCTCAGTCTCCCAAAGTGCTGAAATTCAGGCATGAGGCGCTACATTCAGCCCTTGGGCCTTACATTTGATTCAAGAAGACAAAACAAGCATATAACACACACGAAAGCAAGGAAAGCAAGCCGCAGGTAATACAACAGGCTGCAGTCCAACAGACAGTTAAAGGAAGATGAGCACACTGTGGTGATTCAGACAGAGAGCCACAGCAGATACATTTAACTTGAGGAAAAAATCATACGCAAGAGAAAAAATGTAAATGATGCAGGGAATTTGACCAGCCACTCCACTCTTGGAATGAGATGAGAGACTTGAATCTGCTGCTCCCTCGGTATCATCAGGTCTGGACTTGATTTCTTTTTTTTTTTTTTGAGTTGGAGTCTCACTCTGTCGCCCAGACTGGAGTGCAGTGGCCACTCCCAGCCACTGCAGCCTCGACCCGCTGGGATCCGGCAATCCTTCCGCCTCAGCCTTCCAAGTAGCTGGAACTACAGGCACATGCTACCATGCTCAGTTCATTTTTGATTTATTGTAGAGATGAGGTCTCGTCAAGTTGTCCAGGCAGGTCTCGAACCACGGGCTCAGGCAATCCACTCACCTCAGCCTCCCAAAGCGCGGGTGGACTTGATTTCACCTGAGAGTTTATCTGGTGCTTGTAGATACAGGTGGAGCCATATCATACACGTTTAACCTACATGACCCCAAGACCTCACAAGGAAAATAATAAGACTGATTTTTTTCAGATGCTGTGCTCAGAACCAGCATCCCATTATGCAATGGATGTAAACAAGCCTGAAACAGTCAAGAAGGTGGCCAAAGATAAAGGAGGGGAAGGCGAGTGCTTTTAAGGGGTCCATGACCATTAAAAGGAAATAAGTCTTGTGCCTTGTACAACATGTGATGATAACTTAATCTAACTTCTCAAGGAAGTTGAGGAATTAAATGAGGACACAGAAAAACACAGACTAAGGAAGAGTTGGAGGAAGTGATAAACCAATGACAAAGATAACCATGAAAAACAAGAAGAATCAGCAAGCTAGAACTGTCCTAGAACTGCCAAAGTGTTCCAAGCAGCAATATGGTAGAATAGTTTAATTTCTAAATAAGGTCCCTCAAAGGAATTACACTCTGAGCATTACTGTATACACAATATATGTATGCAAACATACTGCTATATGGTACTTATAACAAAACCACATCTACTGCACATTCACAGGAAACCTGAGAGCTTGTCTTCCAAGGGCATTTGGACTAGATTTTTACTTTGCTTGCTGACTTATCCCTCAACTCAAGCCAACTATCACATCTATCTCTCAATAGAAACAACAACATTCTATTCTACAACAGAAAATAAAGAGTGTTGTGTTAGCTTTTTGGGAGCAGGATGTTGAACTCTAGTAGACCACCTTTTGAGAAATCTCTAGGAATAATCTGGACTTTTACAAGATTTTTCACTTTCATAACTTACCCTCTGTTTAGTATTTGACTTGTATGTGTTACACTTGGCATAAAAAAAAAAAAAAGATTAATGGCTGGCTAACTTTGAGAAGTTCCAATTAAATTCTCTCAACAAATGAAAATGAAAAAATGTATTTAATTTGCCTGGTTTGTTCAGGGGTTTCCCTTTTGAAATGCTGTCACACTTTAAAAGAGGCAAGACTGAGCTGACATTTGAGGGCAGGAACTCTGTACACCAGCCCAAGTGTGTGAGATGGGAAGGTCCCTGTGCCAAAACACCCCACTAAACCCCATAACATGGGTTCTAGCATCACTCCTGCTCATGTGACTGCACACACATCAAGAATGTGGCTCACAGTAGGCCTTACACACATGCCAAGCTGCCATTATTGTACAACCCACACGAGCTCTCTAAGCTCAAGTCTGTCCATCTTCAAACTGAACAGGACTGGCAAACTACCAGGCAGTTCCTCAAATGTCAAACACAAAGTTACCATATCATCCAGCAATTCTACTCCTGGGTACAACCCAAGAGAATTAAAAACATGTTCATGGCAGTATTAATCATAATGGCCCAAAAGTGGAAATCACCAAATACTCATCAATAGATGACTGGATGGACAAAATGTGGTCTATCCATAAAATGAACTATCTGGCCATAAGAAATTAATTTCTTACACATTCTATAACATGGATGAACCCTGAAAGCATTACGCTAAGGGTAAGAAGTAAGACACAATCTGTGAATACATTTAGGCCATTTAATCATACATTTTAAAAGAGTGATCTATATGGAATTACATGGTATCTCAATAAAGCCATTGTTTTAAAAAATTCAGAAGGAAAGGCATCCCCCAGGCCAAGGACTTCAAGAATGACTTTGCAGACACTAGCACAAGGCTTGTGGAAAAGATTGAAAGGGACTCTCAGAAGGTAGAGTTCACTTTTCAAGGGGATAAAAAATTCAGGAGGACAAAGCAGATGATCTCTAGTTTTATGAGTTTTTTTTCCTGCTGAACTTGGAAGCCCAAGCAAAGGAAAAAAGACCGCATTGTCATTCTCCATATCTGCAACAGGCATTCAAGAAATGTTTCTGGCTGGGCTCGGTGACTCAGCCTGTAATCGCGCGCCTTTGGGAGGCTGAGGTGAGTGGATTGCCTGAGCCTGCGGGTTCGAGACCCGCCTGAGCAGCGAGACCTCATCTCTACAATAAATCAAAAAAATCAGCCGGGTGTGGTAGTGCATGCCTGTAATTCCGGCTACTCAGAAGGCTGAGGTGGAAGGATCGCCGGAGCCCAGCAGGTCGAGGCTGCGGTGGCCGGAAGCGGACACTGCACTCCAGTCTGGGCGACAGAGTGAGACTCCAACTCAAAAAAAAAAAAGAAAAAAGAAATGTTTCTTTAGTGTCACAATAGAGGAGCCTGATGTGGGATGTGAGTAAAATTAGAAGAGGAAACTGTCATAGGTAAGTACAAGGTGCCAGGCACTCACTATGCCAAATGGCACACATGCAGGTAATTAGTCATCCCTCGGTATCCAGGGGAGATTGGTTCTAAGACTCTCCCAAACCAAAATCTGCAGAAGTTCAAGTCCCTTATATAAAATAGTGTATTTGGATATAAAATACTCCCTGTATTTTTTAAATCATCTATAGATTACATATATTACCTAATGCAATGTAAATGCTACATTGTTTCATAGTTGTTATACTGTATTTTTTTTTTTTTGAGTCAAGGTCTCACTCTATCACCCAGGCTGCCTGATCATGGCTCAGTGCACAGCCTTGACCTCCTGGGCTCAGGCCATCCTCCTGCCTCAGTCTCTAGAGTAGTTGGGATTACAGGCATGTGCCACCACTCCTGCCTAATTTTTAAATTTTTTGTAAAGATGAGGCCTCACTACGTTGCCCAGGCTGTTGTATTTCTTACTTGTATGTTTTTATTGATTTTTCCCCCCCCAAATATCATCTATCCAAGGTTGGTTGAATTCATGGATTCAGAATCCGTAGATAAGAAGGAACAACTGTATTAGCTTCATTCCACAGATTAAAAAAAGAGGAGTTGAACTTGAAGTGCACAAAAATGCGCAGGAAAGATTTGGTCAGTAGTCAGGGAGTTTGGGACACAAAGGCTGGTTTAGACTTGGAGTCTGCAGGTTCTTAAACAGAGAATGACTATTGAAAAAGAGCAGATGAAGAAAATTAACCCAGTAGTGGTACATAATAGCAGCCCTCAAGTTTACTTACCCTTAACCCCTAACGTCAGGCCTTATCTGCAGTCAATAACATCAGAATTTCTGGGATGGACCCAGGTGATTACAACAGGTAGCCAACCACTGGTGATAGACGGTCTACTCAAACTCAATCCCCACGGTTCGAGGTAAGCACTATTTTTATTCCCACTGTACAGATAAAGAAAGTGATCAGAGGGGCTAAGCACACCTGTAAGGAATCGTTACTTTTCCGTTTCCAAACCTGGGCAGTCCTGACTACAGCGCACGTGTAAGGCATACTTCCTATCAAAAACAAGGCCTGTTTCTTTCTCCTCCCTTGAGCAACCTAACACGTTTTAAGTACTCAGTACATGTCTATTTACGAGAGCAAAAAGGGGCATTTAATTTTCCAACCTCCCTGGACCAGGTGCGGAACAAACCTGGTTAAAACTTCCCACCCAGCAAAGTCCACCTTCTCCCAATTAAAAAACGCGTTTGAAGCTCCATCTGCGCGCACCTCCCGGGCTCAGTGAGGCAAGGATGAAAGGGAAACAATCCTGCCTCTGGGGAGCTTTCAAGTTATAACCCGACAATGAGACACAGAAACAGATGATAAGCCTTTGAAGGCTGTTGTGAGGATTAAGTGGGTAATTGTGCAGAAGGCGCCTCGTTTAGGGCCAACCACGTGGAAATGCCCACGAGACGGCAGCGGCAACCGCAAACACCCACTGAGCCAAGCCCAAGGGTTAGGGGCCGGACGACTCCTAACTCCCTGTCTTCTTTTATCCCCTGACTGTCCTCCACCCCAACACCACTAGAGGATGAGGCTCCTCATAGGCAGAGAGTGAGATGCGGCTCGGCGTCCCCAGTCCCCAGCCCTGAGCGAGGGGTCCGTTTCCGAGAACAAAGGGCTACGGGTGTACCAAGAGCGGGCGGAGGAATTCACGCCCAGTCCCACAAGCCTGAGCTCTTCACCCCGGCCCTGTCTGGTCCGGCTGTGCGCCCCCAGGAAAGTCCCTGGGCCCTTTCCGCTCTCGCCCTGAAGAGCTTTCGGAGGAGCGAGGTCTCCTCTCGCGGCTGGACCCCCCACCCCACCGGGCTGCGGCCACACGCTCTCAGCCCCGGAGGACGCGGCCAGCCCCCGGGCCCGGGGCCTTACCTCCCTCTACAGCCAGCGCGCGACGTTACCCCGGCAACGCCGGCCGTGGGGGCGGACCCCGGTGCCGTCAGGCAGTGCGGTCGCAAGGCCGGCCGAGTGCGCAGCCGCGGAACTCGCGGGCGAGCCCGCCGGCTTTTGGAGGAGTGCGCCTGCGCACGTCCACGCTGGGGGCAGTGTGAGCCTGCCGGTTCTCCCCCCACGGAGTCGAAGGCGGAGGTGCGCCTCCCGGTTTCTTTCCTCCTCCTGCAGACGGTGTTCTCGTGTCATCCTCACCACAATCTCGCAAGACCCATTTTACGGATGAAGTGCCACGCGGGAGGTGGAACCGAAACCTAAAGAGTCTTCGGCCCTCGGGGGGATGGGATGCCAGAGGCGACCGGACTTCATTAAATGGCCCGGCTCTGAGGAAACTGACCTCTGCTCTCTCCCTGTAAGATGGGGACGAGAGCGGCGCATCTGTGTAAGTTGCGGCATGCAGGGAAGCGGTGAGGATGCTCCCTCTCGCAGACACTTGACCGCAAACCGCTGTGCGCTGGCTGTGCTTGGACCGTAAAGGACGGCAGGCCGGGAGGCAGACCTGCTGTTGGAGCCCCGTCTCCCCCCGTTTGGATCTCCAGTGTGATCTTAAGTGACGGACCATCTTTCTGAGCCGAAGTTTGCAGAAATTTGTGTCTTCAGGATCATGGGAGATGAGCACAACAAAAGTGCGTTGGGAGTGGCAAGGTTTCTCCCGACCTTGTTATTTAAAAGCGGCCTGGTGGGGAGCGCAACCTACACCGTCTCAGATGTGAATCACAGGGTTCCCGGTGCACAGAGCGGGCGGGAGGGAGCGGTTCATGGCCAGGAAGAGTGGCAGATACTGCTTGAGAGATTCATGGCGCTAGGTGTGATGACAAACTTTGAATTTTGGACTTTTTCCAACTTTCTCTTGCCTCCAGGCCTTCACACATGCTGTTGCCTCTGCCTGGAACAGCCTCCTCCCCTCTGTTGGCTGTAGTAATTCCTGGTCTTGCTTTAGGTCTCAGCTCAGATATCTCCTCCAGGAGCCTTCTTTCCTCCCCATACCTGCTTGGGTGACTTGCCTCTGTTCTGCGGTAGTCGGGCACAGCCTGTGTTGTCCCTGTTTCTTGCTCCTTTTTTTGTTTTTTGTTTTTTTTTTTGAGTTGGAGTCTCACTCTGTCGCCCAGACTGGAGTGCAGTGGCCGCTCCCAGCCACCGCAGCCTCGACCTGCTGGGCTCCGGCGATCCTTCCGCCTCAGCCTTCCAGTAGCCGGAATTACAGGCATGCGCCACCACGCCCGGCTGCTGATTTTTTGATTTATTGTAGAGATGAGGTCTCGCTGCCCAGGCGGGTCTCGAACCCGCGAGCTCAGGTAATTCACTCACCTCAGCCTCCCAAAGGCGCGGGATTACAGGCTGAGCCACCGGGCCCGGCTCTTGTTCCTTTTTAACTGGGCTGTGGGCTTCTGGTAGAATGATATCACTCAGGCGGCATTCAGTGTGTGCTCTGCCTATGTGGGGGGCCATGGCCGTTGGCCCCCTAAAAGTTCCCAGAAAAAAATCACTGACATGAGGCAGATAGATTAATAGAAAAGGCATACAGATTTATTTAACATGTGTTCACAGGAAGCTTCAGAATGAAGACCCAATTTCCCAGTGAGGTACAGAAACATGTGCCATATTGAGGCCCCAGTAAAGAACGCAGACTTAGAGCATGCCCCAAAACAGGTTATGCTGGTAAATCAGGTTTAGTGGCAAGACTGGGTGTAAGGGCGAGAAAGGGAAAAAACTTGTCTAGCAAGGGTGACCTTATTGTGTAGATGCAGCCTCCCTTAGTGAGAATAGATGATAAATATTTCTTTTAGACCTTCAAAGATGTCAAATTGCAACCTCTCCTGTATCCAGGGAAAGGCGCAGTAAGGGGAGGAGAGGCTGTATGAATGAAAATTCCCTACAGGTGCAAAATTTCCCCTGCAAAAGACAGCTTTGCAAGGTCATTTCTCTTTGCAGGGCAAGCAACAGCCATTTCAAAATATGTCAAAGAAATCTATTTTGGGGTAAAATATTTCAATTTCCTTCACCTGCAAAGGTCTTAATTGCTAGGCTTTGAAGTTTTGGCTTTAGATTGGTCAAAATCAGGATGGCTTCATGGTTAAAATGTCACAAAAAAGGGAAGAACATTGCCAAGAGTCTACAGGACAGTGGTATCAAGATGGATTGGACAGGAAAGAGAGACACTTGGAGGGAGGCTGTGATATTGTACCAGAACGTGATCGTTTAGGAAATACTGGTTTTAGAATTAAAAGGTTTTAACAATGAAAGGGAAATCAGAGGTTGTCCAGTTCAACTTTCTTATTAAACTGATAAGAAAACAGGTCCAGTGGTGCTGTGAGTTGCCAGAAGTAACTGAACAAGACTGAGGTGGAGCTTAGAGCTCCTGAATCCCAGCCTGTTCCTTCAAGGACTTGGGAGTCACTGATCATGGGATCTCAGGTCCTAAGTAAATGCTACGAAAATGGAGATTCTTCCCCAAGATCTCCACAATGGACATTTTAAACCTTTTTTTTAATGGTCATCTTCAAACCCACATAAAAGTAGAATAGTCTAATTGTGTCCACACCCCTTCAACCTTTAGTGTCTTATTTTTTTATACTCTTCATATACACACTTTTCTCCCCCTGTTGGAGTGTTTTAAGACAATCCTGGAATCATATAACATCATATATCAGTCTATTAGTAATTGATAAGGACTTAATTTTTATTATATATGTATAACATCTACATATATGAATATATGTGCATCAACTGTATAGCTGATTCTCTTATATGAAGTACTTCTGCTCAATAATACCACTGCAAACCCCACATTAGTGAACGCTGAAACCATTGCTCCCAGGGGAAATTCAGGTTAGGTTCCTGAGAGCCTTTGCTGATCAATATGCAACCTCGTTTTATGTGTGTTTCTGTTTAATTGATATTATGTAATATCAATTATCAAATCATCAATACTGAACTTACAACCAGTAGCACTATAACTCGTGCCTAAATGAAGCTTAATCTAACACATGTATTTTCTCCAATAAAAGGTACACTTCTTGGCTAGGAACACTAGGCAGCACTTCAGGACTCCACTTGGGGGCCATTTTAAACAGCCAAGTCACTAACAAAAAGTACAAAAATGTGAAAAAAAAATGGCACTAACTAGAGTTGAAAACATTCTTATGTATGGCATGAGAGCTAAAACAAGAAGGCATAGAGACTCTGTTCCCAGCCTCAGCTGGGAATCTGCATATTGGGTAACTCAAATTTGTAACTATTCTTTGCATGCACATGTCCACAGATGACTGTGAAAGTAAGGTATTGATTTTGATATTACAAATATGTTTTAACAAGTAGGTGAGTTTGTAAATACTGAATCTGAGAACAGGGAGGATCAACTATACCAATATATCTCCAATATCATTAGCTCATCCAACAAAATGAACAGTAATCCTTAACATTATCTGTGAAATGTTGCACAGAATCCTTGAGTAATATTAGAGATATACGGATATGCTTATACTGGAAAAAAAAGTGTTATCTGAATGAAATTCAAGTTCTTTAGGTTTCTGTCTTGAGCACTTACTGTGTACCAACCACTTTGCATCCCTTATTTGATTCTCATAATAGCCCTGGGAGAGGCTGTTCTTACCTGTTTCACAGTGGGGTTTGCCTCGCTTGCCCACAGTATCAAAGCTAGGAAACCGTGGAGACCAGATGAACATCCAGATCTGTGGGACTACGGGGCTTATGTCATTTTGATCCATCATGCTGGATATGGGAGGGCAGTGCATTAACAAAACACAGCATTCAATATTGAAATACAGTGGCTGGGCATGGTGGTTCCTGCCTGTAATCCCAGCACTTTAGGAGGCCAAGGCGGGTGGGTTGCTTGAGCCTAGGAGATCAAGACCAGCCTGGGCAACATAATGAGACTTCATCTCTACAAAAAA